TATTTGTTTATTTTTTTCTTAAAACTTCCTCACATGTTCCATTCACAGTATTCTCAGCATCCTTCTGTAGAACTATATCTCTGTTGCCCCAACTCTCTTCTTCATCTGTAAGAAAATTGTCCTTTATTCATTGCTATATGGGAGGATTGATATTACATAGCAGGTAAGCACTCTTTTCTTTGTATTCTCAGCTTCTGTAGAACCACCTGTCTGTGATTGTCCTGTATTCATTGCCATATAGGAGAATTGATATTATGTAACAATTCAGTTCTTTGTTTTCTGACGAAATTTTCCTTTTTAGCCTAATTTAAATATGTGAGGAGTAGAAATTGAAGTTTCCAGTAGACAAAAACAAGAATCACATTTATGTTATTACATCCTGATTATCGACAACTTTAAGAAACAGAATGATTTCCTTAGAAACAAGAAAAAGACACTGAACTGTTACATAATATCAGTCGTCCTATATGGCAGTGAATGCTCGACAATCTCGTCACAGACGAAGAAGAAACTTGAAACAATAGAAATATGGCTCTACAGAAGGATGCTGAGAATACCATGGACTCAATATGTGAGCAATGACGAAGTTTTAGATAAAACGGAAGCAAAAAGGACACATATAGTTAACATCAAGAACAGATAGTTAAAATTTCTAAGGCAAATAATGAGGAAAGATGGCTTGGAAAATCTGATACTTACAGGACAGATTGAAGGTAAGAGAGACAGAAGAAGACGACACATACATAGCGATCTTGAGTAAAGGGGTGGCAGTACAGGGTTTAAGAGAGATAACAAAAAAATAAAATTTATTAAGAACTACAAATAACAGGAAATTGTGGAGAGCCATGATCGCCAACGTTCTGAAGTGACACGGGGAATAGACAACTTTAAAATAAACAGTTTTAAAGTGCAGAGTTTATAATATTTTACTTACTGTATGTTCTTCAGCTTTTAGTAACTCTTAATTCTCGAAATCCAGGGTTGTTGGTAAAAGACACAGGGTAAATTAAGAAAAGCTAGAAGCATTTCCTCAGTCATTACCAAACTTACCATAATTTATCGCTACTCAAGATGAACGGTTGAACTTAAGCAATGGGAGTTACGTTCAACCAGACCTCAAGTAGAACTCATATATATGATTAATTGCTAAAAACGTTGGAACAATGGTCGGCATCATATACGTATCCAGAAAGTACCTATTGTGCTCTTTACAAAACTAAGGTTAGACTAAAAAGAATACTGCTGTCATATCTGGGTAGGAACTGCTCAGACTTTACTTTTGTCGGGTCAAACCCTCCTAATTTTCGAAACCACTAAAAGAGGACGCTCTCCGGACTATAAATACTCGGCAATATTTTTTCTCACTCCCTTCTTACCTTATCCGCTTATTCGTCAACATGTAACCTCTCTCCAGACCAATAGAGCCTTGATCAATACATAGATTTTACATACATACTTAGAACACGTTGCGTAGCTTATGCATCAGCTAGATGTGAAAATCTCAAACGTAGAAATTGGTCCATCTTCTGGATAAAATAAATATGAAATGAAGTTAAATACAATCTCAATTTCTAACCAATCATAGGTTTTCCTGATTGGTTTCGATAAACAGAAAAACTGGATGACTGAGCAAGGTTTAGGAGAGATAACAAAAATACAAAATTTATTAAGATCTACAAAGGAGAGGAAATTGTGCATCGCCATGATCGCCAACGTCCTGAAAAAAAACGGCATATAGAAGATTTAAAGTACCATGCTTATTTACAACAGAGACAGGTTTATATAAAGACTGGAAGAGTGAGATAAATAATTTTTCATTGATCCAATCAAAGCTTGTGGGAATGTTGAGAAATGAAATTCCAATCTATATTAAAAAATTCAAAATATTCATAGTTTTGTCAAATTTATTGATAGAATATTAATTTTAATTGAATATTCCAAGAAAACTCTGGTTTGGAAGGTGTAGGCATTTTTCATCCTAAATTAATTTTAAGGCTGCATGATTCCAGTGTTCGACCAGGTAATATGATTAAAATGTCAAGTTTCTACTTGGGGCCAGAAAGATTCTTCAAGTGAATTCTTATAAGTTGCTGGGACAAATTGTTGATTGGGCTCGCATTAGTGACAAATAATCGAGGATAGAATAAAGGAAAGAAGACGGTTTCATTAAAAAGAATGGCAAAAGTAAACGACTAAAAAAGAATTAAGAACGTGTAGCAGCGAAGGAAATGGGAAAAGAAGAAATGAGAGAGGGAAGTATATGTGAAAAGAAGAAGAAAGAAAAAAAGGAGAAAGGAAAACGAAAATGTTGATAGATAAAAAGATTTGAATAGACTGTGATAGATAGATAGATTTGAATAGACTGTGATAGATAGATAGATAGATAGATAGATAGATAGATAGATAGATAGATAGATAGATAAGAAACCAGAAAACTTGCTGTAAAGATTCTCGTGTGTTGCAAGAAAAATGTTTGCACCGGAATGGGAATTCTTTTGTTTTTGTTCCATTTATTTGTCTTTCATTCATTTCTCCCCTGTAATTGTGCTGATTCCCAACGGCTCAATACTTCGAGAAACTGGCATCGCCCCTCTTCTCTATTAAGGAATGAGATTTTATGACTGATCCACTGATACTGTTATTTGACCTTTTATAAAAAGAAAAAGTGTAAGTGATAAGAAGAAAAGCGTAAAAGAAGAGAAGGGATAAAAAAAAAAAAAGAACGGGAGAAGGAGAAATTGAAGGAAGAAGGAAAAAGAAACAAAGGTTAGGAAAGTCAGAAATGAAAATAATTATCTGAGGACGACTTTCATATTTAGCTAAGTATGGCTTAAGACCAGATGAGTGATTGGACTGAAAAAGGAATATTGTGTGACGTCAGACTTTAAAATGGCTAATGCCGATGAACCAAGATGACCAATATTTGAAATTCCAGCTTTTAGCAGAGCTCAAGAACTGGCCGCTGGAGAGGATATATGCAACAGCAGCTATTTTTGCCTGGCTTTAATTCACGAAAGTGGGTCGCGATAAATCTTCATTAGCACTGGCTTGAGAACTATTCCGTCGATCTTTTACAAACCAGTAGGTAGGCCTGCAACAACATGATAAACATGCCTTATTCTTGGTTCACTAAATTTTTTATACCAAAGTTCACCCCGTCCTATAAACTACATCTGCGTCCTGGATAAGACGATAAACTACATCCAACAGCAAGGCCTCTGATCACGTTTTGAGGAGTATGGAACTACCTCTTAATTGCTGGTGTTCCCAGGTCCATCCTGAACCGGGTTGGTAGCACCTGTTAAGGTCCCAGGTATGGACAAATAGTTACCCCCCAAACTGAGGTCAAAACACTATAAAAGTGTAAAAATAGTTTTTAATACCAGAAATATTTTGTAAGAAATTATTACCAGCAATAAATTTTTGAAGAAAAAATATTACCAGCAATACATATTTGAAAAAAATATATTACCAGAAATAAAAATCTTGTCGGCATTAAATAACCCATTGAGGTTGATATGCTGTAAAATAAACCAAACCAAATCAAACTATACATTTTTCGAAAAAAAATTACCAGTTATACATTTTTGAAGAAAAAATATTAACAGAAATAAATTGTTGAAGGAAAATATTACCAGCAATAAAACAAATTTTCGGCATTAAATAACCCATTGTGGTTGATATGCCGTAAAACAAAACAAAGTACCCAGTACAAAATCCAAGAGCTACTCAATGTAGAGGGTTAGTGTGTAGCGTTGTATGTGCGTAAGAAAGGACAAGAAGTGAAGTTCATGTGGCTATGCTGGAACGATAACGGTTAAGTGTAGACTTGAAAAGGTGAAGATTGTAGTGATTGGGTAAACATCCTACCCGGAGTCTGTTCCACAAAACAGCAATCATTGGAAAAATATTTCTACTCCCTTGTGTACGTGTCATGGCGGGTTCAGTTGAAAAGGTCAGAGGTGGTGAAACTAAGGAATGTAGCTCGTCAGAACACGTGCCATGGAAATAGCTATAAAGCAGCGCGTTTCATCTATCTGAAAGAGCTTGTATGGTGGAAAATAATTTATCATCCACAAGACCGCCTAAAAGCTTTTAAATTCTGCCAAGACAGACAATTGAGAACTGGGCAACTCCAGCCCAGATATGGCAGCAATACTCCATACTTTGTCTGATCTGGCTCTTATAAAGATATATAGCAGAAGGAGCCAGGTACTTAATGGCGTGGTACAATGAATCAACCATTTTTCCAACATCTTTAGCAGTAGATTGGAAAGATATGTTCTACTTGAGGTTTTGGGTGAGCTTGAGTCACAAGAGACATTCAAGCCAAGGAGTCTCCTTTAGAGAACACCCATCCATCATCATTTTTGGTCTGATTTGCTCTTATAAAGATAGAGTATAGCAGAGGGATCAGATACTTATGGAGTGGTACTATGAACCAACCATAAATCGGATATATGAATTTCACTTGAGGTCTAAGAGGAGTTTGAGACTCAATAGACGGTCAAGACACCCCCTTGAGAGAAAATCCATCATGATAGCTGAAAGTTCAGGGTCTACAAAGCCGTGATAATATAGTGACTGTCTGTGGTTCATCTGTGCCGTGGATATGGACGATTATAGCTCTCCACAACTTTATGCCTCTTGTTTCTCAAAACAAAGTTTGACTCATCTTAGGTGACATGTTGCCACTTTCGCTCTTTACTCTACTATGGTGATTTTCTAAGCGCATCTTTGATGTGGCACAAGGCTGAAAGTATGGGACACCCAGTGAGGATCGAACTCACTACTCAGTGGTAATTGTTCGATCGAGACAAGCTTGCTAAACATTACACCACGGCAAGGTGTCCCTTTCCTTTTGTATAACATGCGAGTGTTAAATTTCAATAGGCTTGTTTCTTCTGAATATGTCCTAGAAGAAACAATTAATACATAAAAGCGGGCGTTAAGTGAGAAAACAGAGAAAAAAAAATGACTGATAAAAATATAAAGAATTATTAAGAGAAAGAATTTGATTTAAAGAAAAAATTGCAATGAGTAAAAAAGGGAAATAGAAAGAACTGAAGAAATTGGGATGGAAGGAAACAGAAGCACAAATTCGAGAAAGAAAGACAGAAAGAAAGAAAGGACGAAAGAAAGGACGAAAGAAAGGAAAGAAAGAAAGAAAGAAAGAAAGAAAACGTGCAACTTAACAGCAAAAGCTAATATACATAACAGTCCCCCATTCATTCATTCTTCTTCGTCCCTTCATGGCGTTGACGATCATGCCTCGCCATAATTTCCTGTCTTTTGTAGCATCTAAGAAATTTTCTATTTTTATTATCTCTCCTAAACCTTATTCTTTCATTCATTTATCCTAGCTCGCTGGGTAAGTTATGAATTGTTTGCCTCTGTCTCCCCTGCTTTCAATTTATCCTGTGTATTCCTTAACGTGTACAACAACGAATTGCACTCCTCATGAACTGATGAGAAGATTTCATTGAGAAGTGCTCATGGGAAACTACATTCAGAACAAGTACGAACCAACTGTACGACAAGTTAAGCTGATTCAGGCGAACCCCGATTACGCTTTTGTTAGGTTACCAATTAGAAAACAAAGTAGCGTTTCTCTACATCAACTCGCTCATGTTGAGAAGGGTACGACAATTTCCGAACATGAAGCAGTTACAATAGTCTCAAATAGCCCTATACTAGATACGGAAGGAAATAACATAACAAAATCAGAAGATGCTCTATCACAACCAGTGTCCAGTGATTCAATTGAAGGGGCTGAACTAGGAATCTGTATCTTCCCTAGCCTAAAAACTACAAAAATGACCCCTCCCCAACAAAAAAAAAAAAACCACAAAAATGACCCCCACAAAAAAATCCTCTAAGGCGCTTTAACCATATCCTGCAAAGAACCGAAACGATTCTCGGTATCGAACATTAAAAAAATGTCCTTTCTTTTTTTTTTAATTTAATTACTTTGGTTAAGTTTTTTTTAAATCCCATTCTTTTTCTTTTTTTTGAAATAAAGTATTCCAAATTTATATTGTTTAAAAAAAAAGTGTGTGAGAATGTTGTATTCATATGCAAATCTCCACCACATAAGTAGCAGTTGTTACAGCTGGAAGCTAAACTAATCCTGACCTTGAAGACTAAACTACTAGAGAAATAGTAGTGAATATTCCTAGCTAATTATAGTTTACTGATTGTGGTATCAAGTTTTTCAGGCCACTTCCTCATATGTACCTTAGAAATTTCAACGATCTTTTGTCATTATGGTTTCAATTTCCTCTAATACTTCATCATTGCTCACTAGTTTTCGGGCATGGTATTCTCAGCATCCTTCTGTAGAACCACGTTTCTGTTGCTTCAAGTCTCTTCTTCATATGTGAGGGGATTGTCCAGCATTCACTGCCATATAGGTGAAATGATATTACATAACAGTTCAGTAACATTTCTTCGTTTCTAACGAAATTTTCCTGTTTCTTAATACTTTGCTTAGCTTTTGGAAGGCATCTTTCACTATCCAGTGCGCCTTCGATCTACAGATGATACATTCCAATATCTTACCCAAAGTGAAACCCTAAAACCACGGATAATATAGAATCTTCTAGATAGATAGATAGATGTTTGCCGTTTGGTCTTTTTTCTTTCATTTTCTTTCTTTATGCATTTGCTTGTTTTTAGGTATTTTGGGAATTTATAATCGTGTGTGCACGTGTGTGCGTATGTGTGCGCGTGTGTGTATGTATGTGTGCGTCTGCGTCGTGTATGTGTGCCGCACCAACATTATTGAATTTTTGTATATATATATATATATATATTTATATATATATATTTATATATATATATATATATATATATATATATTTATATATATATATATATATATTTATATATATATATACATATATATACATATATATTTATATATATATATATATATATTTATATATACATATATATTTATATATATATTTATATATATATATACATATATATATATATTTTTATATATATATATATATATATACATATATATATATATATATATATACATATATATATATATACATATATATATATATACATATATATATATATATATATACATATATATATATATATATACATATATATATATATATATACATATATATATATACATATATATATATATATATATATATATATATATATATATATATACATATATATATATATATATATATATATATATATATATATACATATATATATATATATATACATATACATACATATATATATACATACATACATATATATATACATACATACATATATATATACATTACATACATATATATATATATACATACATACATACATACATATATATATATATTTTTTTTTTATATATGCACTCGAGCCTTAGGTATTGGTTTGTTCATTTACAAGCCAAAATACCTAAGAGTTTTCAGACAGTATAATTATTATATTTATAAAATTATTAATGTTATTATTATTAATATATATATATATATATATATATATATATATATATATATATATAGTAATGGGTAAATTGGATTTTTTTTTAATTTCGCACTCGAGCGTTGTTTTGATTTTGATTTTGTCGACTGCACAGTGCTTGGGTCATTTGGGCACCGTCTGTGAGAAAAAGCACGATCCAATTCACTCCACCAGAAATTTGAAG